AGATGATGGCAAATCTTGGATTTACACACCACGCACTTGGACAGCACCGTCAGTTTTACCAACCTGGAAAACTATGCAAGCGACACCTATGACGACAAACTATAAATTTCGTGCAGTAAATCCAAGATGGCCATCTTGGATTTACATTTTGACCACAACATCGGTTTCACATTAAATAAATCTGCATTTTACTTTGTTACAGGTGAATCACGGAAACGAAGATAGGAATATTGTGATGATGAAGATAAACACATATAGCTTGCACCTAAACACCGTATAAACAAGGCATCTAACACGTAAGTATAACACAAACACCCAAATTATGAAAGAGGATGTAAAAAAGAGTTCCGATAGTGACCCAACGAAATCAGGCGAAGATTCTAAACCAGTAGAAGAACCTACTCCAAATGTGTTTGGTGTATATTTGATAAGGACCTCGATCAACGAAACTATTATTTTGGAAATTTGTTAATAGGTGAATTACAATTTTTGCCACCATGTATGCGCTCTGAACCATACACCAATATTTTAAAGTGTATAGATGCTTTGAAACATCAACACCGTGAGAAATCAAATATATAAAATATTAAAGTCTACCTCTAATGTGCCTGAACGAACATGCTAAATATACCAAATGTGGATCATTTTGTACTTATGTAAATGTGACCAATAAAAATGAATGAAAGAGATAACAGCAACGTTTTATTTTAAATTCTATTATCTATTCATCTGCACAATTTTTTTTCTTACGTATAATTTGAAATTTTTTCAGATAATTGAAAAATAAAAATTAAACGCTTTACATTATATCAATTATTTAATCAGTTTTATCTTTTACATATTATTATATTTATATATAAGTACAATAGGGTAACTTAATTTTAAATTAAATGATAAAACACTACGATCAACAACACCCTAATTACGTAACACAACTAATCAGTCAGAGTGCCAAGTACGAATAACTATCGCATTCGTATCGTAACCGTATCGAGCGAGTTAGCGTTCTGATTGGTTGGTTCACTTGAGCCGGCCAATCAGAGCGCCAATCAGAGCGCCGCACCCTGTTCACAACTAATAATTTCGGCAGCAAGACAACGTTCACTGCGTTACGTTGTTGAGCAAACAAATTTTTTAACATAATAATTAAGCAATGGATTTGGATACTGCGTGCTGACTGCGAATTGCTTTTACGTCAACGTGATCGAGACGTTAAGCGAGTTCGGCTCTCTGATTGGATAAAGCTTGGAGCGGGCCAATCGGAGCGCGTAACGTCATAAACGCTTCAATCGCGTTAGCGTAAAACAACTCACACTCAGCATACTGGTTATTTAAATAGGTATTTAACTATATCAGTCTTAAACGTCTTTTTGAATATTTCACAAAATGAGATCATATTTATAGGTAATTTTTATTAATTATTCCTATTTTATTATATAAAAAAATACAACATGTTAAATAAATCACATCCTGAAAATAGTTTGTTCAGAATCGTTAACTGAATCGATTTATATAATTTTTTGTATAGGTAATTCTTTATCCCAAAAATGATTAAAACTACGGAAATTATTGTCGTATTAACCCTGTATTGTTAAAACAAATCGAAATGGACCGTAAGTCAAAGCAATAAGACTTCTAAAATTGCAGTTTGTATTCATACAAATTCTATCATTCAATACAAAATAAAGAAAAATAAACCTTATGACAAGAACGGTAAGGATGCATATACATGTTAAATTAAAAATGTAGTGTATGTATTATGATTATAACATAATATTCTAATTGGGGTGTTTGAGGGTGTGCGTTAATTACGTTACATGTTGTATACATATATATGAGATCACATGCCTACATAAACATACTGAGCTGCGTCGAAACACTTAAACACAAACCTTTAAATAACGATTTAACAATCTTACAACATCCTCAATCACACTTTGTTTATAGACATACTAAATTAATTATTTTATTATGGCAATAGGCTCACCCCCTATTACATGGGACTCATAACATAAATAGTGAAAAGTGGGTGTTACATTGTACAGTGGTATAATGTGCACCTCTGCCTACCCCTTCGAGGATAAAAGGCGTGATGTTATGTATGTATGTATGTAAATTAATTATTATATTTTCCGCTTATACAGGTTACTGTTTGACGAGGAACTCGACTAGTTTCAAGCCATGCTAGAGACTCTATTCACGGGCTGATTAGGTGGCGAGTGTCGCGGAATGCTGCTCATAATATAGGCTCTAGCATGACGAAACTAGTCGAGCTTCTCATCAAACGATTGCGTGATTAAGCCGTAAAACATAATAATTAATCACACTTTCATTTGTTTTGTCAGTATCGAAATTATGATCAAAATTTGTAACATAATCACTAATCAGTCTTTTATTTATTTGTCAGCATTTAAATACTCTTATTATAACGTTTGTGAAACATACTGAATTAATTATAATATTTTACGGCTTACCCGCGTATCTGTTTGACGAGGAACTCGATTAGTTTCAAGCCATACTAGAGGTTCTATTCATGAGCAGATGAGGTGGCGACTGTCGCGGAATGCTGCTATAATATAGCCTCTAGTATGACGAAACTAGTCGAGCTCCTCATCAAACGATTGCGTGATTAAGCCGAAAAACATAATAATTAGTATATTTTAAGTGAATAAATCATGATTAGACCGAATTAACACGATGTCTCGTAATAATCCACTGCTTATGTTGCTCCTCAATGGATTTAAAATAAATTTGACCGAAGAAAAAAGCCTTTCTACGGATACTTGTGTTGCTGGAGCAGCTAACACGCAATTAACGACACTCAATAATTTAGGATTTTTGGGCATATCCTTACTATGCCAGTGATTAAGGATATTACTCTCTAGGGGTAATCTGGGTTCAAACCTTAATTTTTGAAGTTGTCCTTCAAAAGTGTCAACTCCAGTTCTTCCGAGTAGACCACGGAGCGCCTCAGCTTCTTGTAAAATTTTCTCCAGAACATCACTATTATCACTACTCTCCTGCCGGCTGCACACTGCAGTGCACACAACTTCTTTTGTTTCAGCGTCAAAGGATTTTAGGTTTTGTAAGCGTTTATATGTTTCGGATAGTAGTCTCTGAGCTTTTAGGCTATCTTGCTCTGATAATAAAACATTGAGACGACCATCTAGGTACAAATTTTCTAATACTATATCTGTATTTAGTAACGTTTTTTCCCGTAAACACATATTTGTAACTAATTCATTAGCAAATACGATTGGAATTGACTCAAGGTTGGTTTTACAAGTTAGCCATATGATGTAGAAATCGCCGATTGTCAGCTGTTCTCGCTGTAAAGCTTCTGTCGCCCTATTAACAGGTTTAAGGCATGTGAGAATTTCTGTCACTTGTGTCCAGAAGTCGTCTGAGAAAATGTCTGACAGCTCAGACTGGCTATCACATATATCCTTTAATGAAACTAATCGCACTAACATTTGGTAAGTAGAAGACCACCTAGTAGAACAATCAAGTATAGGTTTGTTTAAATATTTAGATTTTATATAATTTCTAATATTTGGGCGTCGTAAGACCCTTACTGCCTTTCTGGCAAGTTCGATACATAGTTGAACTTGAATATTGCCAGCAATTGCGTCTTTTATTGCCAGTTGCAATGTGTGTGCCGCACAAAACATAATACGTGGTCTGAAATCGTCTTCAATTGCGTTAATAAATAAATCAACATTCAATTCCAATGGCGTGTTTGTTCCTAGTTCGTTATGGTCATTATTATCATCACCATAATTTTCTTCGTCAATCTCACAATCATTATTCGGGTCAATATCTTCTGTTGTAAATGTAGAGCAATGCGGTATTAATAGTTTTGACATTTTCTTAAAATTGCTTCCATTGTCTGTGGTTATTGAGTATATTTGAGCTGTCGGTATCCTGCATTCGTTTAGAACCTCTAAAACCTTTTCTTTTAGAAATTCGCCAGTTTGTCTATCAAAAATTTCTAAAACAGCTAAATTTCTCACTTTTATTTGGCCATCTTTGATATATTGTACGTTAATACCTAAAAAATTTCTATCTAAATATGTGGCTGCATCTAATTTCAGGCTTATCAAAGTATTTTTTATTTCTAATAGGATTTTTGACTTGATTTCGTATGCTTTTTCGGGAATCATTGCTTTTATAACTTTTATATTTATGTGTTTATTTTGTACGTTAGAAGGAACAGCTATATTAATTATATCTTGAAAAGCTTTGTCTTGTATCAATGCAAGAGGTCGCCCATGTACTGTTACTAATTTGACACAGTGGTTCATAACTTGTTCTGAAGTTGTAGACTGTCGAGATGTACTTGGTTGGTGCTGTTGGTTTTCCTTATTTATATTAGTTATAAGTAGGTATTCTTGCACATGTTTCGTGGAAATGTGATTTTTTAAATTGGTTGTATGCTTGCCCTAGAACAAAACAAGTAATCTGATAAACATATGTGACCAAAAATGGATTAGTTGATTTTATTTATTTTCGCTATTTTAGACATTGGCCCCGTCCAATAAACCAACCAATCAGATCGCAAAACGCGATTTCGTTTTGATCTCGTTAACCATAAAACAAACTCATACTAATGGCCCGTTCACGACCTTATCCCTGTAAGCGACAGCGACAGGCGATGCGACGAATGATGAAATAAAAACTAAAAAACTAGCTATCAACCCACTGATACTAGGTAAGAAGTCGGTGCCACATTTTGTGTACCCTTAGGTACACAACAACAATATTTTTTGCGCGTCAAGCACGGTGTAGGAAACCAAATTGTCGTTGTCGCTCGGCATGTCGCGTCGTTTGTCGCTTAGACCAATCACCAAAGTGAACGCGACTTAACGTAGGTGAATACCTACACCCTGGTCACATTACCTAGAGACCTCGCTGATATATTATCATTTTAATAATATTACCTACATTAAATTAATTAACACAATATTTCGTTTATTGGAATTTTTTTCTTTTTAATTCTAATAATATCCTACTAAAGTATGCTTGTTTTGCCGCCAGGTCTCAAGATAATATGACCGGGTTGCAGGTAGGTATTAGGTACTTAGGCGCGGGACCACTTTTTTAAGGGCATTTTAAAGGGCTACCTATTAATTCACCGGCACACCATGGCGGCGCACCCAGTCGCCGCTACCAACAAAATGTAGGTACCTACCTGGTTGCCCAACCAAGCCGACACGAGTTACTGGCCTAGTGCTAGTGTCGGCAACATCAGGCCAATGACTATAGAGCTGTATACCTACATTTGGTTGGTAGTTAG